AAACCACTTAAGACCTTCACAAGACCAGCATAAGACCTTAAGTCTGAATTCAAGTTACAAGCTATTCAAATGAACTGCAACAAAAGCATTCCTTTGTCATTGTTCATACAGTCACTTGTGACTGGTCTGTGCATGGTCTTGTGTATGCTTTCATCTGGTCTTGTGATGGTCACGACTTAAACACCCAAAACCAGCACCCAAAACTCAATCGAAATGATGACAACAGTTGAACACTGGCAAGAGTGGAGATTGAAAATTCGCAGATATTTTAACCCCTTCATACTGAGAGCCGTCCCCAGCCATGGCTTTGTGTGAGGATTGTACCACTGGGACAGGTTTGAGTAAACCTTTTGTGCATTCGTTGTAACTAAATTAAAATAACCAAACAAAAAGCCTCAGAGGCAACATGGAGATGCCAGCAACACAAAAACTCTATTACGAAGTACATGTACTTTGACATCTTCTGATCACATCCTATACGTTGTTATTTAGCAATCTCTTCATTTGTCAATACAAGTCAACTGAATAAAGATGTTCTCTACCTCAACTTGTCGGAGGACGTGAAATCCTTCAATCCTGTCAATCCGTCTGTGGTTCAAATCAACATCCTACAAAAACACAGATGGAGTCTGTCACAATCAAAACCAGCAAAATTGCTAGGCCTTCAGCAACACATTAATTTATCATTGACAGAAGCGGTGACCATAATACAATGTAGCATCACCTGTACAATTGCCACACCACACCTAGGGTGTTGGTACCAACTATAGTTGGGCACGTCCCAACTGTGGTTCGATAACTGGGCCGGCCCAACTGTGGCAAAGTCTCTCAGAGGGTGCCTTAGTTTTGCTTGTTTCATGCCAGGTATAGCCCAGAAGAGTTCCGTCAGCTGTGACCTGTAATAACCTGAAGGTTGAGACATTTTTGAAAAGGAATTTGCTAACCACAATCGGGCGGCCTAACAGCAGGGCAATAGTTGGGCGGTCCCAGTTATTGCTGGGACCGACGCAACTAGAACAAAGCACTTTCAAACTGTCATTTATGTACAAACATGTAGATGAGCTACATTGCATTTAACCGGGCAAAACCTTTTTTCCATTCTTACGGTATCATCTGGGTTAAGTTCAAACGGTGGTATAGTCCTGGCAGGAATTTCCTCCACCCCAGGGCCTGAAGATTCCTCTTCAGATTCTTCATCAGAAACAAAATTTGCTACGCAGGGAAAGAGGAAGGAATTCCAGATATGAGCATCACAGTTTGTGAATGTCACAAGTAATCAGTAAGTTTATTCTGTCTTCCTGTGAAAGACAACATTCCAATATTCTTGGAATGTACTCTCAAAAATCGACTGACACATACATGTATCTAACACGTGTATTTCCCCAGGGAATAAAACACGGTTACATACCAAGGATTTCACGTTGTTTCTTTCTAAAAAAATCTCAGACAGAGCCTATGCATACCATGGCAGCCTACACAAATTTCCTCTTAACATTGCTGTGTTGACAGCTGGGGGAGTTTTACCAAATTTGACGTAAAAAGGACTAGGAGTTTTGGGGTTTTTTGTCTTTCAGGACCACTCTAATTTTGTTATCACAAAATAGGTCAGAAAAGGAATGAAATCAAAGGCAAATTTTATGCTCACCCTGTTTTTGTGAATTAAGGATTGTAAACTGCAAGAAAAATTGCTTTTTGATAGGCATAACCAGCCATGTGAATGTTATCCCTCCTTGTGTCATGTGTAGCCCACTAACACTGACAAGAAGTGACAATATTTACCCTATTGATATTATAATTGACCTCAACATGTCAAAAATTGAAACCTGGTCCTCTTTCAATAAAATTGACCCTCTTCTTCTTACGTAGGCCTAGCAACAGATTCACTGAATCCATATATAGCCACGGGACCCTGAACTTAAGCTAGCCGTCATTTGCCTCGTTGGGTCCAGAAATTGAAATGTATTTCCCCATTCTAAGCCTATTATACGAACAGGGTTCCCATATAGGTGACATGATCTCCGAGCTTTTTTTTTTTTTTAACCCTGTGCTGTGCTGTGCTTAGCCCCACTAGTGTGGCACGGATCACTCCCGATTTAAGGATAAATCGGGAGTGATCCGTGCCACACTAGTGGGGCTATGCTGTGCTGTGGTGACAAATGACAGAGCGCTAGCCCAAATTCCGGACACTTCAGCTTTGCCCAACGAGACGCTGCGATCTGAATACGAATACATAATTTCCATGGCAACAGGACCACAGTGCAGACTGGGGGCAATATCACGAATTGTGACTCGTGTTATTTTTAACACGAGATCATGACCCATGTACTGTGCACTCAACCATGCAGGCCTTACATTGGGCCTAAGCTAGGTTGATTGCTCTGGCAATAACGTTGTCTAACGTCAGGCATGCGATCTTGATCGATGTCAGTGTCAGGCCTAATAAACATGATTAACGCTTATTACGGAAAAATTGACAGTTTTCCCGAGAATTTTATGCTCTCGTTTCGTTGCCAAATATTACACCGCGCCTTCACGCTTGATTTGAAAACAAGAACAGTAAAAGTTTTATTTTGAAAGTTTCTCACGTTCACCGCTTTCCACCTGGTTGACGTTCTCTGCCATCTTGAAACTTGAATAGCTCCGCCTTCATATGGTGGCCCTGAAAAGCCACACTCACACACGCATCAATTTGCTACTGGTCGCTTCATCATTTTTTTTTTTTAATTTGCGGACGGAAAGTACGTGAACGTTACATCATATTTACATCACGGAGGGCGCCTGGCCCGTATTCGATCATAAGTACTTGAAAAAACAAGTACTAGTAATTTTGCACTCAAACTCGGCAAATCGTACTTGGTTTACTCGATCCCAGTCGCGCAGTACTCCAAAAGAAATTAGAATTTAATTTCCATACTTATTTTCCGATACTAAACTTTGACCACAAATTTCACATGGTGTAAGTAACACATTATAAGTCACACAGTGTTTTTATTGACTCTAAATCGAGTATTCGTGAATGGGTGTTGGCACTTGGCAGCGCTCGCAGTATCGCCTGTGTACATTTTTTAACTAACAATGCAAATTTCCATAATGTTTTAGTCGTACAATTGTACTCGTACTTGGCCCGCGTACTCGGACTCTAAGCAACTAAAACTCTGATTTTTGGCTCACTCGGACTTGGCCTGTACTCGGCACTGTGTGTACTTGGAAAACTCGGTACTCGAGTTTTGGTGCTCGACTACATCACTGGATATGCCTTCTGAGGGTAACTTCCAAGATGTTTATTTTCTTACAATTTATGACTGGATGAAGATGTCTTCAATGAAGCTGACATCATTTTTTTGTGAATGCAACATTATGGACGGCTTATTTAGAGCTCCATGGGATGGTAGGTCGGGCCCGATTGCTCAATAATTTGTTCCTCGTAACAATTGTTCTTTTCGGAAACATGATAAAAGAAATTAAGAAATCTTAGAGAACCGGACTACGTCTCATCGTAGTCAGGTCCTGCTTGCCTTACCGTTTTACTTATTTTTGAACAGTCTGTCATTATTTTCATTGATTTTGTGACACTAACTCAGGATTAATAAACTCACCGTAATAAATAAAACTTGAGGCGACACCTACTTGCATCACATAATTCTCATTCGGCCATTTATGTAAATGGATGCATTGCAATAAGTTTCTTTCTGATTTTTATTCAGTGATTACCGATTGTTCAACTTTAGAGGTACAACACTGGAAATGAAAGTTTAGGATTCAAGAGAAACTTTTGGAACACACTCATGAGATTTCAACTGGAATCGATGCTCTAGCTTTGATACACGTAGCTTACTTCTTCCAATTCTTCAGAACAAGCAATATGATTGGGCAACACTACCAAGGCTGTAATCGTCATTGGCCGAAAGTTACGTTCGGTATATGAATATTCAGATTTACATGTACCTTTTTAATGCACCATGCGGGGTACAGGCTGAGCGTTTTGTTCATCATACCGCGCTTTTGTCAAATTGAACACGGCTGGTGAATTGCGACTTTGAGGTTTTGTTACAATGTGTGAATAAATTTGGCTTTCACCGACCCGTAATATTTTATCCGTTTTTTAATGTATCGCGCAGCTCCTCCGTGTCGGACAAAAATTAAGTTGCGGTAATTGAGATGCGTCCTTTAACATTTACTGCAGCTTTAAGATGAATAGGCCCTATGACTCATTGGCTGTTGGACAGCAGGATGGAACGTACATTCATGATGACGTCTTGTAGCCTGGGAAGCCAATCCGGACATCCGGCTACATGGAGGTTGGTTGCGCGCCAATCAATGGTCAATAAAGGCTCGTCCTTAGCGCTGTGAGTTTTAATCACAATGCCTTGGGCGGAATACGGCCTATCAGGGAACACTGGGCCTACGAATGACGGACGACAAGAAGTCTCTCCAGAAAGAGGAACAATTGATATATATTTTTTACGTAATCCACTGACAACAAGTTGTGCGATTTCAGTTGCTAGTTGAATAAAAATAACCATTTGACAAATTAAACGCAACATAAAAATCATAAAATAACCATTTGACAAAATGCAACATAAAAATCTTTAAGCACTGCGTAACGAAACTATAACATTTCAATATGGTCCATACAATCATATGCTACAATTTACTACGTTATCATAATACAAGGGGCGGTATAACACTTTTGAGTCCCTGGATATGCTAGAGGCAAGGGTTGGGCCAAATTTAAAACACAAAAACGCGGGCTACTTCTTAATACCACCGCATCAAATGTAAAGTTTACTTTATGACTCTGAAGTTGTTCTTTAAATTATTCTGCAAGAGAATAAAATATTTGTAAACGCCGTTTTGGCATCAAATCTAACAAACCAGACGATGTGCTCCTGAAGCAAAAGGTGGATAGTTAAGTTGGTGTTGTTTTTGATTTATAACGACGACCCGAAAAGTTGTAGACTTGTTAAAAATTCAAAATTTATGTAACTAGCGATTCAAAGAAGATATTAAAGTTTACAAATGAGCTAATGCTGCAATCCTTCTGCCTTGTCAGTGATAGACTCCCCTTTTCCTAATTCAACGCTGATCACATATTAACAAACTCTTTTATTATCATATTAACAATCTCTTTTACAGTTTGAAATTATGAATAATTCTTACTCGAGTACTCGAAAGGCAACCATCACAGACAACTAAATGTGTTGCTAAAATTGGTCCATAAAAAAAGTGTGTTGCTAAATACAATAAACGTTTGACTGAATTTTCTTTTTTTTAAATACATCTAGTGCGTGAAAGACATTTATTGCTCTCTGTTTGTAATAAAGTATTTCCAAAAATGACCTTGTTTAGACTACAATTTATAGTATTATAAACCTCTACACAGTCACAACTGAAACTTCAAATATGACTGTTGAGATTATCTGACTGGAAAAACACAACTACAATGTAACGCTGATTTAAAAAGAAAACACCGTACAATCCATCACATAACACCATAAAACCGTACAACACTGAATAGTTAATTATGCAAAATGCCGGTTATATGGCATGGTTAACTTTTGTTCAAAAGAAGCATTTTATAGGGTAGACATTTCTTGTCAGTACTGTTAACTAACCCAGCAGCCTCGAACTTTCTTATTTCTGATTTTTCAGTACAGTTTGTAAATATAATAAATATGTGAATAATTATCAGTATTCAAGTTTAGACTGGACTTCAGTCCCCTTTGAAAGCATGTACGGTACATCTGAACTTGAATGAAAGTTCGGCATTGATCAATTGATTCTAACCAATGCATGTGTTCTTACGCAGTCCTGGTTCAAAGACCTACACATTGCTTTGAGCTGAAATGGACTAATTCAGACATGAGAGGGCACTCTCTTCACCTGGATTCGTTTCTGACTTCAAGAGATAGCAGTTCATGTAGGGACAGTGCCCTCTAACAGTGATGGTTCGTGATGACAGAATAAACTACAGCAACGTCTTGGAACGAAGACTAGTACAAGAGCTTGTTTACAATACAGTCCAACTCGAACAACTCTACTTGAATTCTTTTTTAAAATCCCATCATCTCTTATTTTCTAGCGTTGGTCGCATCTCTTGTTGTATTTACCGTCTCTGCCATCTCAGATAAATATTTTCGTGCCAATGGTTCCCTCAGTGCTCAATTACTAAATAGACTAGAGATAACGAGTGATGAAAGCTGGAGTCTGGTTCCAAATGGTTAACCATCCATCGTTCGAGTGATGTTGGTCAAACCACACTAAACTACAGTCATGGCTCAAAGTTGCCTAAAGATAAATCCGTTGAACCAAATTATCCGGTAGCATGTGCTTGCACCTATTTAATGACATTTCAAACTAAAAAGGACATACATGTATACTTTTTTTTCTCCGAAAACAAGAGCAGTTTTTAAATTAATCGAACAGTGTAACTTATCCTGAGCTTCGGGACTTGTTAATGCTTGTGGGTTAGGCCTGGGTTTTCTCTTTGGACCGGGCCTGTTTGCGTTCCTCGTACCTAGCCAGTCCTTCTTGAAACCTGGCAATTTCACCCTCTGTCTTGACCTGTGAAGAAATGGAGGGGAAGGAAATTTGCATGCGACATGAACAAAATAACCAAGAAAAGTAGGGCCGGGTATCAGTCTCAGGAATGAGAGGGTTGCAAGTGTAGTCCAGGAATTTATCTGTGTTTGAAGAAGTCTAGTTCCCATGTAGCATCAATATTCATAAATTTACCCATGTGATACGAGTGGTCCAGTCTCCTTTTGAACTCACAAACTTAAATAAAAATGACAACTCTATATATGGTTGGCTGTGTTTCGTATTGTTCAAAAAAGAATTTTAGTATTCAGAACACTGAGAACTTCATGAAAGAATTAATCATTCAATTTCTAAATTATTTGGATAGCTGTTTGATTTGATTAAATGGACGACAGAGGACCAAAATCTGAAAACACTTTTACACAAGACACTGCTGTATGATATATATGCCTAAAAAGATCGTGAAATGAAGATAAACTCGCTTACTTAAAAGCAACCAATGAAAGAAAAAAATTTAATACCTGCTGATTGTGTCAATTCATTACTAATTTTGGACTCTGCCTAGATCTGTGCACATCAACGTCTGATAAAGATAGGAATCTTCCAATGTTTAGTGCGGCATGAGAGACGAAAGTTGATCTACCTTGAGTTGCGGGACGGGAAGTATCTGCTTCTTGTTTCCGAGCGAGACAAAAGTGAAAAAGGCGTGGACAGCTCTCTGCTCGGTGGCGTGACCGTGGAACATGGTCTCCATGTCCACGAATACCTCAATCTCGATGGAGCGATTGCTGGAGAAGGTAGGCCGCCCGATGACGTGCATTACGGCACCTGTGCGGAATGCGAAGTCAAGGGATCAGTGCATGAAACATTTCTCCGACACACTTTTTGTGTGATTTTACACTCTTCTTCTTCATTTGGAGAACTACGGGGCATCCGTTTTAGAGAGCCCGGTGTTCCATAACTTGTACTTTTTCAAACATTTCGCATTGTCCTCGCCCTTCAAAAGAACTGAGGGCGCCGTTACTGTGAGGTTGATCCAGGAATAAAAACACTGTTCAGTTTATGGTTTTGCGTTCAAGTTATCAACAAAACAAACTTAGTCACTGAAAATATTTCTCGGAAAGATTTGCTCCATGGTTTATTTACCATGTACTCACTGCAATAAATCACCAATGGAAAGAAAATATTTAGGCAAGCAAAATATAAAAAAACAGCATTTTGGTGGCACCAATTTCTGGAATATACAGTTTTTTTTGTTCAAAAATACGTAAATTTGGATCTGGGTAATTCCAGAAATAAGGGGACCATTTTTTTCGTGTCCCTGTCACATCTGACATAAGATTTGGTTATTCAGAACACATTTTCTGATTTCCCAGAGTGATAAATTAATGCAAATTACCTGCCAAACAAATAGTGATACATGGGGGTTGTTTGAAATCAATTCCGGTGATATCTCCATGACAAATAAAAAAGATAAGATGTAACAGGGGCACGAAAATGTCACACTTTTGGATCCCTAATTTCTGGAATTACCCATCTGTCTACAAACCAAAATGGTGCCAAAATACCTTACAGGGCCAACAAAAATTACAATTGAACAAAATGCAATGGTGCATTTTCAAGGCTTGTAGTGAAAAGAAACATTTTTCCACACACGACCTTCAAACTTGAATCTAAAAAAAAGCAGATGAATTTTCAACTACCAACTAAGAATCTCTTTGGAAAGTTTCTTGCCCTTGATGGAATCTCGGCAGAATGTGTTTTTGAATCACTTGAAGCTCAACAATTTACTCCGGAAAAACATGACGTTTATACTTGATCATAATTAGCAGTTACAACCACATTGTAGCTCCAAAAATTGCTATTTTGTGACGATGAATTGCATCTCCGAAAAGGTACATTTTGAAAACATAATATACTTCACAATTGAAAGTCTTTTTGTATCGAATAAAAAGGCATATTTGACCTGTCAAATTCAAGGTAATGACTGGAAGGAATCTATACGAGCGGCATGCTGTGAAATGATAGTGCCGTACCTCTCGGAATAGGCTGGTGAAAGTTGACGGCATCCATGGACGCCGTCACCACGGACGTTTTGCAGTGTTTAAATGCCGTGATCCCGGCCACCTCGTCCATCAGTTTCATGGTCACCCCTCCGTTCACAAAATTTGCGTAGTTGCAGTCGGTCACGCCAGCTAAATGAATCAGGCTCGACTGGGCATTTGGCACGGTGTGCTCTTCAATAGCTGTATAAGAGTTGATAAGTTTAAGATTTGACCATTTTTGTTTTCTAGGCACTGAATGTAGCACTTTAAAATTAAGGCGTAAAAAGCAATCCTTCATAATTTCTTCAAACTTTCCACCAAATTTAAAGATCTGTTTCCAATCGGTCCATCTCGCGGCACAATTGGTCGATCGAGATCCACTTTTCTTGCTTATTCATGGTTGTGGGTTACTGTTTCAACAAGGGGGAAAAAAGGCCAAGATTTCAAACAGGACTGGCCGATAGTGCAGCAGGATCATGCAGACTGACCAACTGTAGGCAACGCTGAAGAAACTTCATGTGCCACATTTCATTTCCCCAAGCACTTTGCCAAAAAATTAAGTTTCAATTGGAACTGCAGAGAAATTCTACTTCGTATTCTTCTGCATAAAACATTACCAGCTTGGCAAGACTTGATGAAAGTTTGGAAAGGATATTAAGTCTGTTAGAGGCTCGACCATGTACCGGATGATGTGTTACAAGTTATCGCAACACAAAAATGTAGTAAGAACAGGCACTAAAAAGCTGTCAATGATTCGTCAAACAAATAAAAGCTCCTTTTGCATTTCATCCGTCAACTTCGTAACAGGAAAGCGATGTTTGTCAGCCAAAAGTAACGCATGTGCAGATGCAGGCCTCCTAACGATTCCAAAGCAACGGGCAAATTTGAGCAATGATCATTTGCTAGCCGTCAATCCCTTTTGCCCGGTACACTAGATATATTTTGTGTCGAAGGTTATCAGGGAAATTCGACCGTCGATCAAAGAGTGGTCATCGCGTTGGAACTCACAATTCGCCACCGTCTTCATTTCGTCAATCTCCTCCATGCTCACGCTGACGGTCCGTCCTATGCCTTGTCTCTGCCGGGCGGCCTGTTGCTTGTGGTAACGGTCCCAGCCTGCCGCCTCCAGCTCCGGGGAGGCGTAGGTGATCTTGGGCACGGGAAGCACTTTGCCCATCGTCTTGATGCTGGTCGGCACGTACCACAGCGTCGCTTGGTTTGTCATCCTTCTTGTGCCTGAAACAAAGGAAAAATGAAATCAGGCAGGGGAGGTGGGATTGGACGATCGTCTGTGAACTCAGAGACCACACAAACTGGCAAAGAGGCCAAAGTGTCATACTTGAAAAACTAGGTCATATGGGTCATTCCATGCAGTTGGGGCACAATTTGTGACGGTGTCGAGTGTTATATGGGTTCCGTAAAAATGAACAGCTATTTCCCTGAATGTGGATTCCAAATTGACATTGTTATACATCTTGCAAGGCTGAATACAGAGGTGTGTGCTATTTTTACAGAGTAAATGACCTACTCTACAGGTCATGACAGGTGGTAAAAGTTACCCATGTAACAAGGACACCTTCACAAATAATTGTGCCCCAACCTCATGGAATGACCCATATATCTATCAACCAACTGTTTTATTTTTTGTTCAACAAAAACACTTTATCTTGATTTCAAAGTAGACGTTCGGACCACTCCAAGCCAGAATCCAGTTTCTTAGTGACTGTGTTGCGCACGTGCTCGCTCCAGTGATTACGAGCTGCCATTGGTTAATATGCAAAGTTTGCACGATGATTCAAATGGTTCCCTTGCTGTACCAACGAACTAGATTTTTCCTGTGGGGGTGGGGTTAGGTCAGAATGGAGGGGGGGACAAGATTGGATACCCTTTAATTGAATATTACCGAGTATGCGTGTCTATAAAGGGCTCCTGCTGCAACTCTTGTGGGGGGTTCATTGTGTGTTGGTTTTGCAGGAGGGAACTATGGGGGACGGGCCCTGGACAAATGTGGGGGGGGGGGAACATGCGATCTTTATGATAAATCTTGAAAAATCACATCTAGACTCATATACCCAGAGTTTGAGGTCATTTGAGAACTGAACAAGCCATGCATTATTTGTGTCAACATTATAAACCATGTGCATCTCCCTTAATCCATACATTTGCGGCATTTAGGAAACTGGTGTTAAACAGAAATTCTCCAGAATTAATCGGCTGTCAATCGCCATTATAGAGTGGTTTTGGTAAACCAACCCTTCAGAATGTCCTCCGCCCAGACTTTGACCTGTACTTCCATGGAGTGGTGAGCGGTGTGCGTGATCTCGGCATGCAGCTGGGCGACCTCTCCGATGTACATCGGCTGGACAAAGTCAGTCTTCTCGACCCTCACCAGGCCGGCAACGCACCGCTCCTGCTCCTCGTCCGTGTCCGACGCCTGATGATATTCAACACAGTGTCAAGTCAAAACAACGTTTGAAAGTTTATGAAACTTCAAACAATGTCAGCGAACGTGTTGGAAACAAACTACTACAAAGGAATGATTAATTTTGCGCAATTTCAATTTTCGGAAACCAGTTGGCCACTTTTCAGATTTGTCACACGCAGCAACCCATATGCAAAACAGTTATCACTCATTCCCTAAGATTATGATTTGACACAGCATGTAGCACGGTGATGGCTAATTCTATGATCCAATCATATCAATCATGAATTTTAAAACATCAAATTTTTCAATCCTGTGCATTAATCAAGGGGATTTTATCAGAGTCTTACCAAGTACAAGTACTCATCAGTAATTTTTTAAAAGTCATGGTCAAAAAGTGTTCCTTTTTAAAACTAAACAAAAGACAACTTAAGAGATAAACTGCTAAGGTATTGTTGACAATGGCCCGGATTCACAGTGTATTTTGTCTCGTTTTATTTTCGATCTGAGTTGCAGTTTGCTTGGTCTTTACCTGTGTTACTTGGTTTTTATTAGCCCATATAATATCCACGGAGATTGTCAAAAAACAAACAAACAAACAAACAAACAAACAAACAAACAAGCAACCCAACACCCCAACAAACACCCCCAACACCCCAACAAACAAACAAACAAAATAGAGAGCACTTAGGGCCATAAAAAAAATACTCATTTTGATTTCTGTAAAAATTTAACTGTAATAATTACAAATACTCTACTTTACCTGCTCTCTCATGACGTTGCAGTGTCTAGTGGATACAATCAGCCCTGCTTGCTCTATCATCTTGAGGATAACCCCTCCATGAACGTTGCCGCTAAAGTTGGCATCTTCTGGACCCATCAGCCTGAGGGGCGGATCGAAGGAGGTATGATGGATGAGGATGATGGAAGATACTGGCGTAGAGACTGCAGAGGAACTAGCCAATCACTGCAGAGCTGTGTTTGGCGTTAACCACCTTGGCTGAACTGAAGCCCCGCTGAGTTGATTGTTCTATTTGGACAATTCCAGTGACGTTTCACTGGACATTTCCAACCGCCCCCGTTAATGGCAGAAACTAATGTTGGGTTTGGTCAGGAATGACCAACACAGAACAGGGGCTCTGCACAACAGTGGCAATGTTTTCCACCATTGGTGGGGGCCACAGCAGATGACCAGTCATCACACGATTAACATGGTCATCAGATTTGTATAAAAAGAAATTCTTCAAGGTTGCAAATTTCGATTTCAATGTACAGCATTTTAAATGGCATAAAATGGAAGCAATACAGTGAAAAATCTAATTTCACTGACTCTTCACTTACTCTTAATTTTACTTTAAAATGATTGAAGGAACCAGCCAACGTGGGCCGTACAAACAAAAGGTGTCATCAACCTGAGAAACTGTACCCTGTAATACTATGTGGTAGGTCTCTTGCTTGAGGGGGAAAGGAACGATTTGTAGAATTATTAATTTCATCTTTAATTGGTAACAACGTTGGTTCACTTTCAACTCTGAGGAATGCCCGGTGTAGGTGCAGCTCTGGACACTGTATGCACTTCTGAGCATTTATCCACCAACTGTTTAGTACACAGAGGAATTCTTTCCTTAAACCACATGTACCTACAAATCAATTTTTATAATATCCATATTGATTTCATGATGTTATGTTATTGGATGCTTTACCTTTGATGTCTGATTGATTATATTCTGAAATTACGGAGTAGCCATCACATAACTGTTTCTAGCTCAGGGGTAAAAGTCATTAACTTTACAAATGCTAACCATAAATTTATTAGTTTTTATCAGGAAATGTCTTAGGCGAATGTACCTGCAAACTTCAACTGATTTCTGCTCCATATTAATTTCCGCCAGTGCCGTAGTCGTCATCCAACTTGCCGTCGTTCGACTCTGCTGGTTCAGTCTACCGGCTGCGGTCACCCACTCAGGCCGAGCTTTGGATTGTGCTGTCCCTCTGAAGCAGTGTGAAGCCCTCGCCAACAGGAACGACGAATATCCACACCTGAGGCTAACTCTGATTAATGCATGGCCAATGCGCATTGCCTATTGCTTCCATTTTGAAAAAAAAAAGTGAATAAGTTACATGTATAATATAGGAAATGAGACGCTATAATAAATTCAGAGGAAAAGGCATAAGAAAGCTCTCAAGTAACAAAATTTTCAGGGAAGGAAACAATGAAAGTCCCCTCTCTTTAACCATAACGCACCCAAACACTCACCCATCATTTACACTGGCACTCTTTTCCTACCTCCATGCTCTATATCACATCTTTTCAATTTCAATTGATACACTTACAAATATTGCTCGTAATTCCATTTGGACATGCTGGAAATGACCAAAAATGATAAAAATACAAGTTTTGTACAGACCATCAGGTTTAAAATGATACAATGGAATTTTAAGTAATCACTTGGGGATGGGGGCCTGAGGCATGTAAGGCCCTAACTTAACTAGTAACAATGAATTTTCCTCGCCTAGGCCTACAACAATTTCACTTTTTAACCCAGGTCAATTTTGTCTTCGCTGAAAACACAAGGTGAACTTATGGAATTCGTTGTTTAGTGGCGATTACGCAGCGGTGGCGGCGGCCGCACACTGTGGATACGGAACTCGTGCCCTAATTCCCGGACACTGAACGCGTCAGCATGAAATGACAGGTCACGCCAGCCCCATTCAATAATGCATGAGCGCATGCTCCTCAGTTACAACTTGTAAGCCTAGTTATCCTGGAATAATTCCATGATCCCTCTGTCTGCAGAGCACTCGAACAATTATTTACGCCTGGACACAACCCTACAGGAGATATATGATACTTACGGGATGCATGCACATATACAAAGGATTTGTTGGATGTGAATTCGAAGTTGTAACTTGTATCGTGATTGATGACCGTGCCGGTCAGCTGTGACCCGTGTTCTGCGTTTCAGCAATTATAACGGAACGTTACGATTACATACGTACAACAGCATATGACTAGACTGCACTTAATTGCAGATGAGACTGGGTACCGTACTGAATACTGCTGACTACTTCACTGCCGCAAGGGAGCTGCTATAAATAGACTGACGTCATCTTACACCAATCAATTTAGCCAGTGCCTAGTAACAGACGTGTTTATGGTACAACAAAAGGCCGCGAAAAAAAATTACGACCGGGTTGCTTTAGGTTTGGTTTCCGAAAAAAAATCTGCCCAAAAGGTGGGAATTATTCAGTAATATTTTGAAAGGAACAAACGTGGAGATATCTGGAGTGTTTGCGCTTTCGTCAGTAAATTAATATCTGGAGGTCAGGCAAAGATCAGACAATCATGGAGTGAATTTATGGTAGGCCTTTTGCGCCGCGAATCATCATGCATGTCACCATCTGGTCATGCGGCTTGTCAACAGACAGACCTCCGATTGAGGCAGACCCGTGAGGTCTCTGTGCCTGTTTTCCTGTCATGCCTGTCATGTCATGTTCTTTCTCCGTGCTTTGCTCATGCAAGTACATGTCATCGCAACTTACTGTGGCTTTGAAGGCCTACTGATGTCGTCAGTTTATTTGCCTGGAAGTAGAACATCGATTGTCCTTAGTTTGGTTATTGTGGATCAGATGTGCGCGAACCATCAACCGGCCGGTTCTGGCTGTTCACCCAGCGGTAACCCAACAATCGATTCTCCCTAGATCCAACTAAGACTGTAGACCCAAAATCTTGCTCTCTGGCTGAGCTTCTTTTCAAACCCAGCTTAAATTGGGACTTGAGTAGAGACTTGCCAAACACAAACTCATCCAATGGGCTCCATCCGCCAAATTGAATTGGGCTTCATTGTACATTGAAGCGTCAACAATGCTTGATAGGTTTTCCCTTTTGCAGCATGGCAAAAGTTCCGCCCCCAACTCCATGCAGTCACGCCACTAACAAAAGAGGGCCATCGGCCCCTCTCAGTGGGAGCTCTTCCGAGGGTGAAAATTCCGATCTGGAGGACATACCGCCGTCACCATGCAGCAGCACGTCAAGTGGCCCAATATACGTCCGGCCCGCCGGATTTAATCATCATGCGCAGGAAATTGTGCAAGCCGTGCCATTTCGGTCATGCAGATCGGTGAAGTTGAAAAAGAAGATCAAGAAAAATGCCCTGACGACAGACAACTTGCCCTGTCAGCAGGGGACTTTCTCTGGTTTCGACCAGAACAATAACACGAATAACAACAATGTTCGAACGGCTGCGCCACCGAGCAAAGCGAAACAGAAGCCCAAAAAAGGTAAGGTGACAGGGGTGAAATGGGTGTGTCATTCCCCAACTGTGCCAACTGCCCCTCCAAGCATGACCTACTTTGTCGGCAATCTGCGGCATGCCCAACTGTGGACCTTTTGGAATCAGTCGTTTTTTCACCTACGTGTAGGCCCTACTGTGCTCTGTTCTCTTAACAATACAGCTACTGTACTGATTGCCTGCCTACGCCCTTTTCTTATGACAGAGTGTTTCTTTCCAACCAAAGTTGGGCATGCCCAACTGTGTCAACAAAGTTGGATGGACCCTAGCTGTGTTGCGGACGCATTTGGGGCAGTGACATAGTTGGTGCGTAATACGCCTGCATAAGGTACCTTACTTCGTAAATCATTGTAAATGTACATGTAACTTCTCATCTTTAGAAGGGTACAGAGCCCTAGAAGTGACATCCAAGCTGTTTTAGAAGTTGACAAGCCTGACAATTCTTTGTAAAGTTGACATACTTTTGCAGGGAAAATATTTACATGCTGAGATCTCCAAAATACCGGTATTTGACGTTCACAACACAAAGAGAGCTAAAAATTGTCTGACCTTTAATTTCGCGCCTTTTTTCTCATTGAGGTAAAGTCTGCTTTAATAGGCCACAGTAGATTTTTGGGACCAGATTGACTTCAGACGAAGGTTACCTGGGAACCAAGTGTATACCCGGGACCAAGTTGACATCCAGGATCGAGTTGACCAGAATTGAATCACTTCGGGACCGAGCAGACTCAAAAAGCTTCCCATCCATTTTTTTGTCACAGGCTGTAGTCCAAGTCATTGACGTCACGTAATAATGACAGTGGCCTCATCAGTGGTAAAAATGCAACGCTTACGCTATTTTGGTGATCGTTGGAGTTGCCTGATTGATTAGGGGCTTTCAAAGATCCAGAACCATTTGGGGGGGTGCTAAACTAAGAAATCTTTCCATGTAACCTTTTTATGGCCTCTCTGAGAGATGAGGCAACATTTTGGAGCTTTTGTATTTTCAGTGTGAAGAAAGAGAAATGAATTAGACCAACAAATTTACTTTGAACAATGTTTTTCAAAAAATAAATTTTGGCTCGGGGGGGGGGTTGCCATGGCCCCAGTTGGCCCCCAGATTCACCCTCGGTGGCGCAACACTTATAAGTTGATCCTGGCTTTTTTGTATCCCTGTCACATCTGACACATGATTTTGTAAGTTCAGAACACATTTTCTAATCTCCAAGAGTGATGAATCAATGCAGATTACCTGCCAAACAAATAGTAATAGTTTGAAATTGATTCCAGTGATATTTCCATCATTCCATGTCTAACAAAGGTCAGATGTAACAGGGATTTCTGGAATTACCCTCCTGCAAGAAGTCTCCAACTTTAATTACTTTCCCCTTTCAAAACAATCTTCCAGAGGTTGGATTAAAAAGAGAGGTGATAAATGACAGATGGGAGAAGGATAAATGAATAAACCATTGTGCCAATCCAACAATTACAACCAACAATCGGTGCACTTTTGTTAAATGTCCTCTCCTTTTGCCTCCAATCCCTTGGCTTTTATCATTAAGCTTCTCGTTTCCATTTGCAGTCTACACTCCCAAAGTACTGCGTGAACTAGAAGTCCCGTGCTGTATGTTAATTAACAGAACTGCCTTTCATCCTGGGCCCAACCAAAAAAAATACTTGTTCTCCATTCCAAAAAATAGGGTGGAGTATTTTGTTTTATTCGAGGGAGGGGTTTTTTAGTTTTTGTTTGTTTGTCTTTTATGTTTTGCACTCCTTTTTTTGTTGCCAGAAATTCTGGAATAACGGTTAATAAGCCAAGGGAGAAAGTTACATTTATTAATGTGCAAAATTCCCACTTCATTTGTACGTTTAGACTGCGATGGTTTGAGGTTGAGGATGGCTGCATTTCAGAAACAGGTGCTTTTGTGTACAGATAGAAAAGGGCAAGCCACTTTTATTCAAAGGCTGTCGGTAACACCCATTTGTTAAACATGAACAAAACAAATATCACATTTGCGTTGTGGCTGTTATAAAAAACAGCAGTGTTCCAACAAGCTTAAAGATGAAAAGACATCAAAAATCATTACACTGTGCATGGTGCACCAAAAATATGAACTTACGGGTTAACTGGTTAAAAATGATAATAGCAAGAGAGGTCATTTGGCGGTTGTTTTTTCAAATGAAATGAACAACACTGAGGGATTGCATGCAAAAACAAGTCTGTTGAACCGTTTTTGCACCCCATTCAAACTTCAACAGACACATTATGTTGACAATTTATTTCCATTTTAACATGTTCTCCAAATCACCCCCCCAAAAAAAGAGGTTAGAAAATATAAAAATTGTAGATTGTGTTGCAAAAAGAGTAGCTTGGGAAACAGGAAGCATAACTTTCTTTAAACCTTTGAACAAACACCCTAATTTTAATATGGCTGTTATCTGTATCCTGTGATGTGTATTGAGATACTTCCAGATATTTGTAGAAATAAATTTAGAACCTTCAGGGTAGGTCTACTCTTAAATGAACCAGCGTTTTGTCGCCCAAGTCTTTCATTTGAATAAATTTTACTTGCTTTTTTTTCTAACCCTAAATGAGTCTTCATTGATAGGTCCACAAGAACATGTACATGTAGGTGGTACTCTTCATGGAGAAGCTGTGGAAACTTTACACTGTCAATGTGCATGACTCGCACCTCACATGGTCTTACACAAAAGTCGATTGGATCGGGGAATAGTCAGCCCCATATTCTTGAATCTGCATGAACGTGACATAAAGATTATCCCATGTAAAGCTCTAAATTAATTTTTCCCCAAATGATTTCTAAACATCAGTGTTTCCCCTGCCTATTCAAATGTCTGGCGGCCCACCTCACTGATTTGAGTGACCGCCTCAGGCTTTTCTGTTGAATTTACCACCTCACACTTAAAATAGACAAAGACAGAAGGAAAAAGGCAAAATAACTTAGATATTTTGAAATAAATCAGTTTTAAATCATTCAGAATGATAAGGAAGAACACAGAATACAAGATCAATTTATTTTAGAGGAGAAATTTTGAGTAAATTTACTACTAGACTATATAGAATTATTTTAGGCTTTTTAAAAAACACTTGATTTTGTTTTAGGCGCTAGAATTTTGGCAAAATATTTGAGAGCACCTCACATATATCAGTACCCGGGGGAAACCTGCTAAACATACATGTACACATTATAGGAGAAAGTACATACATGCACACATGTACCCTTGTATAATACAGGGGTGAGATTTCTCAGCTTTTTAGCTGATTTCAGCTTTTTTTGTTACGGATTTCAGCAGTTTTTCTTCACTGGCTGTGTACAAAAGTACAGGAGATTTTCACTGTTCAGCTTCTTTATGCCTTTTTCCAGCTGTTTTCAGCATCCGGTATTTTTGGTAAATCTCACCCTGATGATAACACAGTTTACTACATGTATCTTTTCCATACTCTTTTCCGTCTTTGTTCCAAGAGTGTTTATGAAGTAAGAGATGCATTATTTGATTTATCGACTTAAAGGGTTTTGTACGTAGATGGCATAATCTACCTTCATGTACATGAACATTAGTGGAGAGCATTTGTTAGGGGGGTGTTGTGTGTTTGGGTAGTGGTGAGGAGCAGAGTTATTGATTTTTTAGAAATAAAAACAAATTTTATAAATCAGATTTTAAAAATCTAAATCAGATTTCTTTTTTATTTAAATAAGATTTTGTTATTTCAGTAAAAATTGGAGACAGGTTAGTTCAATTGTCTAATCCAAAGCAAGCAAATTAGCTGCACGTGTAATAGTTTTCGTTTATTTATTTGTTTTGTTACAAGTTCAACATATTTGGATTTGAATTAAGAAATTTAAACCAAGTAATTTGAGTGAATTCACAAACAACCTTGTCTTAGCCTTGGTGAAATACATGCAGTATAATATCTACCGGTATAGATGTACCCTCAGAGAGGACTCTTCCTTCAGAGACAGGTACGGTCTATGTACCAAGGATGAAGTGCATACCAGGTTTTAAACCGGCAAGCTCTGACAAAACTAAAGTTCACAAGGATTTGCTAACAGGGTACTTACATGTACATGTACATGTACATGTATACATGCATCAAATGACTAATGAGTGAGAAACGTTTCATGAACAATGTATTTACATGTTATATGTACATGTACATGTAGGTACAGAAAACGCTGGTATTTTACCTTGCTCTGTGTGCGAAAAGCAGTCTTGTTTCGTTCGTAATCCAGCTCCACAGAGCAATGACTTACATGTAGGCTTGATTACTTTAATAAGGGCATTTATTAAGGGGTATTTAGTGGTTTCAGTTACACTGCATAATGACTGTAGTTTCTAATTTTAATAAAATACATGTGTACCTCTATATAAAAGGTAGATGTGCACTGTACACTAATATCTTACCAGGTCAAACTCTGAAATGGGAAATTGAAATCAAGTAAAATTAAATCATGATTATAAATCCTTCACATCAAATACACTTACTGAATCCAAAAAGCTGACTTAAATCAAACCAAGTGGACGGAATCGGATCTAAAAATCTTGCCAACCCAGATTTTCTGTATTAAACAAGTGTGCATTCATGCTTCTTTAAATTACTAGTAGGAACGGGAAGGCCCACAGAGGGGGATTTGTTGTTTAAAATGTGCAAAACCTGCAAACATTTCCAATCAGCAAAAAAACAATTCAAAAATTGAACCAATTTGCTTGTTTCCTCCCAAATTAAATGTGTTGATTTAAATCAATGAATTTAAATCGCAATTTAAATTAAAATCAGTGATATAAAATCAGCCAAACCCTGGTGAGGAGGGGGGCAAGAGATTGGGTTGAATGACTAGGGATGGCGGAAAGGGGGAGGGTTACATAGGACAGTTGAAGAACGGAAAGGGTATGGAATAGAGGCAGAACTGGGGCTGAAGTACCGGTTATTTTATATATTATTATGCATATTAATATTTTTATATAATTCATATTCCTATTTATGCACGTTCTAAATGTTTGCACTCAGATTTTGGATAAACAGACCTTGGCGTTACAGTGACTTATTTCACTTTTGTTTATCCTGTCCAACCCAGGATAAACGATCATCACATTTATCATAGCAGGTTAAATACATGTGGTGTCCCTTGTTCAGTGTGCTTTGTTCTTGTTTTTTGTAAGTAATGATTTATTTGTTGTTTTGAATGTTTGTGTCTGTAGATGATTGATGTTCAAGAATGGCCCAATAAATAAGAGTACACCATAACGTGAATGCGCTTAATGAAGTTATGTGCGTGATTTTTACATTTGAGAATCTCTTTGTCATATAAATGATATGGCCTGCATCATATGTTGGCCACTATTGCTAGGAAGATCGTTATTGTGTTCACACGTGTGAAAAGCAGTCTTTGACAATGTATCATCTCGGCACCGTGTCCTTCAGATGCTTAATAAAGCAGGTTGTTCATCTATGATGCCATAGTAACTGTTGCATGGCAACCATTCTCATTTACATGCACACGTGTGTTTTCCCTTGGATTTACCTTCCTTAATTATCATCTCTTTCTTGCACTGTTTGTGAATTTAATTTCAGTTTTGATAAAAGTGTTTCATTAGCATATTTGCGCATGTACAACATTGTTCAACGAGTTAAAAAAAAAATTATTTAAGACGTGTGCTGCTTGTGTGGCTTTTGCCCATGTTCGTAAACTTGGGGTTTATTTGGTTAAATGCTTTGTATTTTCAGTTTGAATAACTCCCCTTCCAGAATCCTGATATTTATCAAGCTCCAACTCGCCATAGTTTTCCTTCGTTTATTTGTAGGTCGGTTTCATTTTGTTCACTGTGTTTGACATGTTGTAGATGTAGTTTCATTTTTAGTTGGTTCTGTTTTTGTGTGCAAATACAGACCATTATCAGACCCTAATTTTTTGGGCTATAAAAAATTAGAGTAAAGAAAATATCATTTACCCAACCAACCACCCTAATTTATATTTCAGTGTTATAGGAAACACAACTAATTTTTTGTTTGGCCTTATGGACATTGCCGGAGGTTTAGTTGTGATAATAACAATTGAAATTTATATATGCCTTTTTCCGCTGTGATGGTTGAAGATGCAGCACACATGACTGGCATTAGAGTTAAAAAGTCATAAAAGAAAAGATTTGAAATGAAAGACACAGACTTTGAGATGAGGTCAGGTATATTTTATTTATTTTTCTTCTTGGTTTCTTTGTGCAAAATATGACAGGTTGGATCATGTTTGTCACCACATGATTCATCACAGAAATGTGTCAAGGAAAACGGTTGCCGAGCTAACTCTGTGAAATTACTGTTTGATGATTCGCAGATCCGCTGCCAATGAAACTGCGAGCCTTACCTCAGTCTTTCTGGCAACAGCCGAATTCAGTCAATGCGGTACCTCCGGGGAGTATGTACACGGTCCTTCCCCCCGTCTGCAAAACAGACCCGCCATCTATCGCCGAGATAACAGGTCGGTTCTGGTGTTTCATTTCAGGGTGCACCGCCCTGGATTTGCTTCTTTTTTTTTTAGCCTTTGAAACTGCGAAATGCATTTCCTGAAGAGTGAAAATTATTTTAAAGTGTAAAAAAAAAAGTGTAAAAAAAGTGGGGATGCCAGTATTTTGGGGGCAAAAACCATATTTCACTGGCAGGCTTCGATTTATTGGAACAAATTTCACTGGTCAAATTGTGAAGCAAGAAAAACGAGCAAGTTACAGTGTTCTTCATAATTCCAGTCACTTTTCCTGGAAATAAGTTTGTACTAACAGGTCCTCATCACACTGAGGTCTGACCTGAGCAAAATTGGCTAATTTCTATGAAGACAAACTGCCTAGTATCAGTTGACATTAAGTAAATAACTGTGATTTTTCTTGTCTTCCAGAGAGTTTACATGATGGAAATGGGATTTTTTTTGGGGGGGGGGTTACTGTGTTTCAGCGTACGTGTTGCCCGGGCTGTAGCATAAAAAGTCCATCCGACGGGTGTAAAGTTGAGCCTTCATTTTTGAAAATCATAAGCGTCATATGCTGTGATCATTATGTGCATTCTTTTTCACCAACAGATACGCGGCCAATTACACCGCCATCAGACAGTGACGAGAAGGAATCCCTCGCAGTCGTAAAAAGCGAGAAGCCCGAGAGAGCGAAAAGCACAGAAAAACCACAGCCGCAGGATGCCGCCGCATTGCGAGAAGGCGCCTTGGACGCGGCTGCTGTAGAGGTAGTAAAATCCAAACCGCCCAAGCCTCCACCCAGGAGAACTGTGAGAGTGTCGGCAAGCAGTGCCGACCTGCTTGCCAAACTCTTCGACGGGATCGAAAACGACAAGAAAGCACCGGTCGCCCCAACTGCCAAAAGAGGAAGGTGAGTTGTGATGGTCGCGCCATTCAATCTTCCTGTAACCATGACGTCAACATGCGTACTGTACAACTGTACACTAGGGTTGTAGTCGAGTTTGTGGTATTTCCATCACAAGGTCATCTAGTCCTGGGCCAAGTCACGAGCCATGCAAATAAGCTGTGACAAAAGCAGTCCTCTGTCATTGTTCAGCCTGCCGCCTGTGACTGGACCGACTTGTGATGGCTTTGACTGCACCCTCGATGGCCGTTTTCTCATTCCGTGGAAAAAAAACTCATGGAGAACTCATGGAATCATACTTCCAATCTCCTGGTCTGGGAAAGTGAATGAAATGTTGTAAAGTGACAAAATTCATATAATGACAGAATTCATTAGAAAGTCATGGAATTTTGAGAGGCCCAATTTTTAAAAATTAACACTTTGGACATTCATAATTTAGCATCAGAAATCAGAAACCAAATATTTTCAACTTGATAAAAATGAAACAAATTTTCCTCAAAATACTTCTATCGTGCATTTTGGTTAACTGGGTCATGTTTTCATGAAAAGAAAATTGGCAAAGTGGCTTCATTTTGTTGTCCTAAGGATGCAGAAATTATAGGGCTTCAATAACTTCAAAGCCTTGGATCATACAGGTCTAGTACCCAGTGATCTCTAGCTGAATATTGGGCAGGCTTTGAACCAACCTTACGAACCAGGCCTTGTCAACCCAGGTCATGGTCCTATAGTTGAGATGAATTTGTTAAAAGAAAAAACAAATTAATTATGTGGTTGCTTGGTTTTTGACGATTTTACAGACCTAAACGAGAAAGTAGCCACCCGCATCATAGTAAGCTTCTCGTTAATAAGGACGACCCTTACATGATTGATGCGGTGTCCGACAGCCTTCTGCCATTGTTGAGCATCGAGTCCAGCCGGCAGAGCGTGGGGCCGGCGTCGCACCTCTCCGTGGTGTCGGTGAAGGACGGCGACAAAACACTGACATTGCCAGCCTTGAACGTCGAGCAGAACTACCCCGCCATGCTCACGGAGCTCGTCAAGGCCTTATAGTGGTCATGAAGCTTCCTGCATCTACTTCTTCAAAATGTTCAGCGACATGGTTCCAGAGGGTAAATTGCAGTGGAAGATTGGCAATTTCCCAAGCTGTTTTGGTTTAAGACTGACTACAAGGGGGATGTTGGACCAAACATCCGAAGGAAACGGGAAGTCGGTGAAAGGAAATTATTCTGGTGTCTAATGTGGTAAAGACATTTAAACCATGAGTGTGTGTTCTCCAGTAATGTACTCGTACTCAGAAGCACAAGTGCTCGTACTCAGAAACCAGAAACTTGCACTCGGCTGGCAATATGTCCAGACTTTCATTGTACTCGGCAATCTGCATACTTGGGGAAAAAAGTATTCAACTACAACACTTGTTTTCTTGTGTGACCTTGTTACGTGTACGTGGGCTAAACAAAACTGACAGTGCTGGAGCATTTTGCCGGACCGTTTTTTGGGCTTCATTTAACACCATGCTGCCTTCTCTGGTTTCAACTCCAATTCATCATACGAACCTAAAAACTGCCAACTTTCTTTTCTTACAATTTAAATGTTGTTCGTACTTTTATGTTACAGTCGTCTGTAACCTTGCATTCCAACGACAACAAATTTTGTCTCGGTGGAAAGACATTCATGTATGCCTGTCTTGATATCAGAAATTATAAAAAAATACATGTTCAACCTTAAAACATCCCACAAAAAATGACTTACTACATTTATATCAATTCTAACACCTCAAGTAATCCAATTTGAAAGCACCTTGACTAAGAGAAACGTTTATTCTAATTTTGGTAGAAGTTACATTTCATTGTTTAACTGAAATGACAAATTCACGTTTGCAAACATTCTTGTCTGTACAGGATGCGTTTTCCGAACATTTTAGAAATATAAACTATTTTTTGGTCATTGTTTGAAAAGTCAAATATATTAATAGTTTAAGTGACGTACTTATCGTTGTAAATAGCAAAAATTCATATTGTACAAAGACTCGTTCCAGAGGTTATTTTATTACAAGTATGTTGTGTGAAAAAAAAAGAGTTCTTATATTTAACTTAGAGCAGGTGATTTGCGACTTGGACTGCGCGAATCTTATACAGACTGCCCTATGACTGGGGCATCATCTATTTTAGGGTGTGTAAAGTCTGCCATTGAACTTCAAGTTAAATTCAAAACCATCAATTATTTCACATGATATAAAAATATGGACAGGGTTCCATATGTGGATGCCGCTTGACCCCCCGTGCATTAACCCTTAGAGACTGGCCCGAAAAATTCTAAGCATTTTCTCAGCAAATGACTCGGCATTCCCCCCCCCCCCGAATTGAATTTTTCTAGACATGTTTTTGCTGTCTGATGGCTAATGGGTCACTGTAGGGAATAATTACTGGCATCCATATATGGAACTCTTTCCCAAAAATATATAGATAATGCTGTTTACCAGTTTTTTAACAAAAATCAGGGTTTTCTGTCAGTTGTGTGAAATTAGAAACAATTTTGTGATTCCTCTGAAATCTGGAGTAATTCAGTCTCCTTGGAAGAAGTGTTTGTCTTGAAAGAACAAATTCTGGGAACGTAATGTAATACTCTTTGAATACGTGTAGCTCATGTCAGGAATATTTCAGAATCTATTTTCAGAACCAAAAACACTCAACCCTGTGAACCCAACATTCGTACACTAGGTCACAGGCTTTTTAAACTGTTACAGTTGAGCCTCGTTAATAAGAGCTCTGTTCATACAAGATTCTGCTTCTAACAGGGATAATTATAATTCCCAATCCCTTGTTTACCATTGTTTTCATTCCTGACAATACAAAGGTTCCTGTTATAACAAAGTAATTTGCCAAGTCCAAAGAGCCTTTTATTAACGAGGTTCAAGTGTGTCTGGAAAATGACACCAGTATACTTGTGAACAATGCAAGTTCCACACCGTTCGCCGTCTGTAACAGCTAGATATAGGTCTGCAGATAAAATCACCTCCTTCAGTCAGGGATTGGCAGGTCACATTTGTAACATACCTGGCAAATTCTGCGTTTTATTGTACAGTATGCTGTGCCAAAACCTTCAGTCATGCTAGGGATGAGTGGGTTCTTTTTGGTTTAATCCTTTACTGGCAAGATTGTCAAAAAGTACTGTTACGAAAAATCACTCGAGGGCATCCAGTCTGATGCCTTCCACTTGGTGAAAATGACGCGCAACTTTACGTAGCCTACTGTAGAGTGTTGAGGTCATAATTGTGTCTTGACGGTTTTGGCATACAGTTTTAAAGCTCAGTAGTGGTTGTTAGACAAGCATACAGGGTTGGATTTTTGAGCATGTGACCAAAGATTTCACTCGATTAAGAGGAGTAGATGGTCGGGTTTGAACTTATTTTAGCTAAACCACTTGTCAGTTTTTTCCATACCAGTGTGCCCGTGTATTCCAGTCCAGCGTAAGTAAATTTTAAGGAATATTTTTGATGTTGGTTGCATCTCTCGTACAATTGGTTGTATTCATGAAACTGGTTCCCTGTGCACCCAAGTATGAAAAGGGTTGTTGATGACCAGTGGTGGGACAGCACCCCCAGGCCTGAATGGTCAATTGGATAGACCAAGCATCCATTGCCAGGCAGCGTTGGTCTAACTGTGGTCATCACTCCAATTGCCCTTACTTTAACTGGCAAAAAATAGCCACTTTAAAGTCACGGACAAGCCTAGATGCGATGCGATGCCTAAATTAATCTAGTTCTGTGATCACCGAGACAGACAAGGCTTACAAAAAGTATGTCATTTCTGTTTTACAACACCCATGAATTCTGTACCGTTGAATTTGAGAAGTCTAAGTTTCAAGCCAAACTAACACAAAATTCTGTTGCAGTTACACTGACAATTTAATGAAATCTTTTTCCCCGGCAAGGTACAAATGTATTTGCACCAGACACTCCATAGCAGCCATTTACATGTATACTCAACTGAATATCATACCGCGAATTTGCTTGCCATAAATATGGACATAGAGACAGCCCTAGCAGTGATTGTTTGGTGAATAGAGTAACTAGTCTGATTGCTGTTGATATTTTCTCTCTGGGAGTGAGAGTGGTAGAAGTGGCTTGCTCTTGGCTACTGAAGAGACAGCATCCATGAATGGGATGTCATGATGGAAGCCGCTGCTCGGTCATTTTAAATACAGGTTACTGTTTGAAAAAAAAAAGTTTCTTTTTTTTTAAAGCTTTATAACAAAATGCTGCTTTAACATGGAATTTACTTTTGGTTTGCTTTGCTTTTATTTTCCTTTTCGTTTTATTTACTATACATGTAAATCATCCAACTTTTTAACTTTTGCTTTGACTGCTGTTGTTTTTAAAGTTGCAAAGTTTCGGTAGGGCGTGTGCTGCAGTCGGATTTGCTAACTTAAAACCTAGTGCTGTGTGCTGTGAACATCAGCTGTACATTTGCAGCACTTCCATTTGTCACATGCATTCGATTATTTTCTCTTGGTGGGGATCGAGTCATACGAGTGTATCTGCTCATGATGAGAAATAAAATAATTGGAGATGTCTTTATCAACGTCAATGTGTTTGGTTTGTCACCTGAGATGACTGTTGTCTGTTCTGTTTGTGTCGACATTTTTGCTGCTTTTTTTTTTGATAGCGTGTCAACCCCAGAGCAAACTATTCAATATTGTGGAAAGAATTTTGCAACCTGAGTCTACTTCAGCACTTGTGTACGAAGTCCATGAGGAGTCAAGAAAATTTTTTCAAGTATTGAAAAAATTGGAGATTTTTCTCAGTCTCAGATTCGTGTCTTTTCAGGATTTCCGCAATGAATGACCTCTCTTGAGATGACGTGTGGTGGAAGAAGGGGCAAGGATGGAATATTCTTTCCCACATTGAGCCTCGTGTGGACCAAGCAAGGTCTATGCAAAGCAAGGGTGTCCCCCGCTCTGAAAAGCAGTCTTAGAGACATTTTAGAGTTTAGGTTATCGACACAAAATGAAGATAAGCACTCTAGGATTTTAGCATCAACAAAAATCTAGCTCAACAGAGTGCAAAAAAAGTGCAAGAAAATTGAGTATTTTCTTTGAAGAGTTTCTTTACGAGAAAACAAAGCAAAATCCCCGTAGGCTCGTGAACGTGCATGTTTGCAGTGACCGATTGGATTATTGTTGATTTTTAAGGTATTTTCTATTTCAGTGCATTTTATTTAATTAAAGTCCTGAATTCGATTAAATGCCTGTTTAATCTCAAACCTTATTTTTTTCATTTTATGTTGCCATGGAAACCATGCCGTCGGCCACATTCAATAAAAACTACCGGTCTTTCGTACAGTAAATTTTTCAATGTACATGTACGTCCGGGGACTTTCAAATCTTGCTGAATGTTGTCAAGCATTTCTCGACCGACTTCATCGATCGTTGGCACCATATGTCATATGAGATATCCCACTCAAGGACAAATGACAGTCATACCATTTCTGCTTTCATGCACGTAAAACTCTTTTATTCCCTCCAAGTATACCACATATGTAAATACATGTACTTATTTAAAATATGTACACATTTTGAAGTATATACGTTCCGACGTGCAAACTTCCACAGCTTTAATACAGAGAATAAAATCCCCCTACACACGCAATAAAATGAATATATCCAAGAATTTCAAACTTTGAAGTTGAAACTGTACATGACCTTTTCTTACAAGTCACATTATAAACATGCCACATTCTTCACGCCTCTTCACAGAAAAACAAGTTGCTTCGTCTTTTAAATACAAAACCATATCACTGCATGCAATGTTTAAACTTGTTCACAAAAACTGACCGAAGCCTTCTGTATCTAGTTATCATACGAGGGGATTTCAATCCGAGCAGCGAATGCCATCCAATGAAACTCTGGAAAGCTTTCTTGAAAAAGGGTGAACTCGGGAAAAAGACGTGTCTCCCCAAGGTTCCACGTGGCAGAACTGACTCGGAAGCCGTGACCATTTTTTGTTGTTTTACACTGCCCACGACCCGACACATTTCACATCGCGCAACGTTTCCTAGTTTTATTTTCAACAATCAAGCCTGGGGCAGTTTCCAAAAAGATCTAGGATACCTTAAAAAAAAATGACACAGGTTCAATTACGCTCAATGAGCCAGATTCTCATCTAGTATTAGGCAAGATTAATTAAAAAATACATATGTAGTATATTTGTATTCTTAACAATGAAACAATGTTGTCTTATTGAGAATTATATTTGAAAATTAGCATTAACCTAATTTTTCCATCTATGGATGAGGCAGTACTAACACATGGAGCATAAATGGTGATGAAAACAATGCGTTACACCGGAAACTTTTCAGAGCTGTGACGGTCGGTGTTGTATTTGAGTCCATCACAAGTCCTTGCGAGTCCCTCACGTCATTCACTGTTTTTAATTAGCCAATTCACGAGCTATTTAAATGAGCTGTGACAAAAGCACTCACTTGCCATTGCTCACCCTGTTTTTACCTGTGACTGCACTTGTGAACGGACTTGTGATGGTCTCGCGTAAAACGCTGGTGACGGTGCTCTCTCAGGAGCTGTTCAAAATAACTGAGTGTAATCTCTATACATGGATCAGAACGACTGGTTTATCAACATTTAAAATCATTTCACTGGCCAATGGCACATCTAAGAATGACAGATGTGTTTTACCTGATCTTCCACTTTGTCACATTTTAACTGAGGTGACGGAGCTACGTTATGCATTTTTTCCCCCTCAAGTTATGAATACAGGTACAACTTAAAATCACTGGGCAGTGGAGGTACGAGCCATGAATGTGAAGAGAATGCTAAATCTGTATTAAATTCAATGATTTCCACTGCCGCGAAACAGGAAAATGACTTCTAGAATTTGGGGAGTGCCTACATGGATGTGATCTTCAAAAGCCTACATGTATCTGCCTCAAGCCGAAGCACCCCCTCATCGGTTGAAAAGAGCAGCTGTTCATAACGAAGCACCCTTAAATGCATGCATTTCAGAGTTGTTTGTGCACCAGCGAAGTGCTACTTCAGGCCAAAGGAGCGTCCGTTGCTAGGAAAATTGCGCCCTCTCTTGGTCCAGCTGGGGGCTCATTGTTGAAACTCTAAAGGGGGTATTTTGGAGGAACCAGTACCAAGTATATGTACAGTGATGTACATGTAAGTGCTATGAGCCAAAACAGCAATATGTGTATTACTGCACAAATTGCCGAATGATACAGGCCGGCATGCTCCGAACACTTTGGCAACTGAAATTAACAGATTTCTTAGCAAGAAACAGATAATAGGCACCAGTTCACCTGAAAATGAAAGAAGTAAGGAAGTAAGTCTTGTGAAAGAAGAAAGACTCAAAGTAAGTGTATAATGACACTTCAAACAAATCAAGAAAATCAGTGATGAGTATAAACAATGGTTTTTCAAGAACAATTTCAAACGGTTTCTTTTCAGTAACCTCATCTACGTAATGGTTTCACAGATTAGTTTGTTTATACTAAACAAAACATTGACGGGAATGTTCCTGGTCACTTTGTGAGAAAGCATTATAACACGGGATTTGGCAAAGAATGCTTGAATCGTTTATAAAAATCAATAACACACTTTGGTAAGATTACTCAGGTGAGTTTTGCAAGGTAAAAAAGTTGCACTTAAAGTCACACGTGACGTGCTTCAAAAATAAATACATGTATCACTTACGTTTGAACTTTGCTTTTTTAACACGTAGATGGTGTCTGCATTGACTGACCTTTCTAGCCCTGAAATTTTCATGCATTTAAAATTGCCTCAAGAATAATGGCTATAATCCTAAAACATATGCATTCAAAGAGCGAAGCACAACATGCACGGTTGCCATGGGTACGGCCAATCAGCATCAACGATGCAAATGGGTAAAAACAACATCTCATAATCTGCAAATGAATTGGAGGAATTTTAGCTGGTTTGTTGAGACGCAGGGCATTTCCTTGTGAACAAACCCCTCCCGCAACCTGGAGTTTTCCGTCTCAGCGGGGACTTCATCAAACTGTTAAGCTTTCAACAGTGCGGCAGTTTTATGTTAAAAGACTTACTCCTGATGCTGAATTATTTTACATGCACATTTAACATCATACACTGTCATTTATATCGTCATATACAAATCAATATTCCTTGCATCTTGATTCTCTAGGATAATAAATTTTTATCACTGAAGACCAATGAGCTTACTTTGGATTAATTTTTTTTCTGCATTTATCTATCATTCTGGAGTCACAATATACTTCCCGCCCTTGAAATCGGTGGTACCCAATTTCCTTATTAGGCTATTTACAATTTGGTGTTGGAAGACAGACACGCTGTAACCCGGTTCTCAGTAGTTCTCTAAATCGGTGCTCTTTACACAATTAAGAAGTCTGGCTAATCTTTTCGGCTGGTAACTGGGTCATTCTATGTCACATCACCGGACGAGTTCAACTTCATCCCCTTCGGCTCGGTTCAAATTTGGTTACGGGTTACTGTGGCTGAATAGCACTAATTTTCCTGTTTGGTTTTAGCCCCGAGTGGCCAACAGTTTTTGTGTTGTGAAAAGGTTTTTTTTTTTCATTTTCCTTCATTTGAATTTTGGCCAGAGTGGGTACGGCCATCGTTTCTTCAGTTGACCAAATCGCCCAAAACTTTGGACCAAATTCGTCGATACTGGTGTAAAACGTAGACTTCGATCCAGTAAACTTCTTCGGGAACCCAGGTCATTTCATTCATGGGGAGATCGCTCTGTATTCATGTGCTGCACCTTGTCTTTGGAACAATCTACCGCCATGGTTACGATCTTCCCCTTCTCTCCTGAAGTTTCAGAAGGATCTGAAGACTCCTCTCTTCAATGAGGCATTTCATTAATTTCTTTGCGCTAACGCCTTGAGCACCTTGGTGGATCTGTGCGCTCTATAAATCATCATTATTATTATTATAATTCTTATTATTAAAATCAAACAGAATCCAAACATGCCACAGATTAGAGGGGTGGGTGGGGTTTAAACATCCAAAATTTGGGGGGGGGTGATTGGACACAGCATGACCCAACCCTCGGTAGAGTCACACGACACAGTACACCCTAAAATGCCCTAATTATGATTATGATTTGAATTTTCCACCAAAAGTATTTCAATAAAAGCACTCCATACCACATGTGCGTTGACGCTCAACGCGCATGACACGTGTAGTTTAGATACTGCACAGCATGGAAACATGTAAGCATGCATATATATTGTTCTTAACAGTAACGTACAATGGTCACGTTAAAAAAAAAAATGAAAGCATTGTGGATGAAATGACAAGCGGGAATTGCACAACATCTTAAGATGTTGCGACTTACATCAGCACAGACAGTCACAAGATGTCGGAATTTTTGTTAAAGGAAGCCCGTCAATGAATGCTTAGTGATATGCAATAGACTTACCAGCAGTCCTTAAAAGAGACATGTAACTTTCCGAACGAACAGCCTATGTTATTTACTTCAATTTGACAAGACGTAGAGCTTAGATCAAACAGTACGTGAATTAAGCCATGCATGGAAAGTACCAGTTGCAAAATGATCACCGGACCATTGAAGCATGTAATATGTCGATGACCCAACCTAACAAAGTGAGTCCAAAGTTGCCAAAACAGCTTCAAGTTAAAGGCCTTCGAAAAGAATCTGGCATAATGGATATCGATAGAACCCTCGACATTTTTCACCCTCAAAATGTCAACTTTTTGTCTGGATACCAAACAGAGAGCTCACGTTGCTCTTTCTAATGTGAGCCGAGACAAATTACTGGGGGAAAGAATAGCCCCAAGATTCATTTTGTAGGAGCCAGTCACAGATGTGCAATGTCCATTTATCATGGGGGCAGCCATCTTGCTTTTCTATCATTCAAACCAATGTAACCACACTGAGGCTGGAAGGAAAAATAGTCTGTTCCCCTTCATCAATATGTGAAGCTGCAAGGGGTGTACAGGAAACAAGACATATAAAGCAGCATTGTGAGAGGTCTATGGAAAGTTCGGAATGGTGCGACTTTTGAGAAGCCGTCCTGTCAATTTAACACACAGCCGTGCTTGCACCATCGACATTTGAATCTGGGCAGCTCTGAAACTGGACACCACGGTTCATTTCTTCCTCCCCAGGAGAAAAGTGGAATACATAAAACAAATCAGGCAAAGTCTTACTCAATGAACTCAACCTTACCACAGTTAGTTACTCAAATAACCAGATACTGCCAATCATGAGAATTACAAACATACAGACTCTTTTTTGAAAGAATTGTTTGGTCTCACAACTGGCACGACCAGAAAGACTTGCTCAGCGATCCTTCAAACTGATCCCTTCAAATCCTAAGCCCAGTGGCAGTGTGCTTTGGCAGCAAAGCATGTCTTCAGCGAAACGTTACAGCCGCAAGTTTCAAGTAAAACAACGCTCTGGCAAGCCTCCACTCTCTGAAGGCAGGAGTGCACATGGCAAGCAGGGAAAAAAAGAAGTAAGCATGCAGAAGTGTTTTAAAACTCAAACTCGTACTTTTTTGACTCATACTCAAGAAAATGCATAGGTACTCATACTCGCATGGAAAAATATCACATACTCATGGTAAAGGACTCGTCCTTGATAAAATGTACTCAACCAGAACATTGGTATGGATGTGGGTGTGTGCATTTTATGGCGTCCACTGTACCCCAATCAAAGGGAACAAGTTATATAATAGTATACTTGGTTTGAAGATGGAAACTCGTCTTGGCAACAGCACAAATCATGCGATAGGAGTTAGGAAAAAAAAAGAGTTTAAGTACAAGCAAAGGAAAGCACAAGAGAAGAAATATGAAGTTCTTGACAGTAGCAAATCTTGAAGGGGGAATGCCCTGCACACCCCAACCCCTAATCTTTGGATATTTTTTAAAGGAGTCAACTTTTCGCTCATTTAGTTCTCAATTGGTTCGTTGATAAATTCGGGGGCAAAACTCATCATGAAAATTACGCCCCGCTCAAGTGATTGGGTTCGCCTCTTTTTGGATCCCCCCGGACCGTTTGTGAACGCCAGACACACCCTTTTTGTACACGCTGGATTCACCAAACCTGCCTCATTGTCTACTTTTGAAGAAATAAATTCCATGGCAAAATATGACTTCGGAAGAAAAAAATACGGTTGCTTGAATATGACAAGTAGGTAAGTAATGAACTCAACGTCTTCAGGAATACTGAGGTATGCTTAGGCTTTGTCCCAGTGTTACGGCTATGGCTACGAAATGCACGTTCTATGGGTGTCACTGGCTAGCGGCTGGCGCCACCGCCCACAAATGCATGTGTTACTCACAGTCACAGCCATAACTCATCAGACGCGGCTTACGAGTCCATTTATTTGTTTTTCTCAGACCATGGTGCTCTCCAGCTCTTGACTACGTGACCTGGCGCGGACCTGCTCCGGCACGCCGCTGAAGCTGGACGAGTAGCCGATCTCCTGCCGTAGCTTTCTGCCCAAGGCCCTGCCCAAGGAGCCCTGAGGGAGAAGGGAAAAAAAAGGAATTCGTTGGAGGAGGGACGAATTATGCGTGACAGACTCTTCAAGACCGTCACCAGACTAGACATGAATAGTAATAAGATTAGACACAAGACCAGTCGCATCACCCGCTACAAGAGACCAGACACAAGCCCAGTCACAAAACCTGGACCCAAGACCAGTCACAAGATCAGTCACAAGACCAGTTGCAAGACCAGTCACAAGACCAGTTGCAAGACCAGTCACAAGACCAGCCACAAGAACAGTCGGAAGACCAGTTAAAAGATCAGTCACAAGACCAGTCGTAAGACTTGTCACAAGACCGGTCACAAGACCAGTCACAAGTCATAGGGTTAAGCAACAACAAAGGAATGATTTTCGTTGAAGGTCACCTGAAAAGCCTGTGGAGAATGTCATAGTTTTTTGGGTGGTCCAATTGATCCCCTGATTTTTGACAAATCAGAGGCATGTATGCCCACAATGTCACTCATGGTGGTCTACCACATCAGCAATCACTATGGCCAATTTTTTTTTTATAATGAGGGATTTTACATGTTCATGACACCATATTGCATTGGTGACCCACTCTGTGAAAATGAGTCATAAGCTGCCGGAGCCACTTTTTGAGTTTTCATTTGCATTGGTAAGAGGAAAGTGAGTTTTTTGTTTTGATGTATCACTCAGTTTGGCATCCTGATGAAAGTGGATACTCCATGGTGAAGAATGCTGTGGGTTTTTATTGATTTACACTGCGCAAAATTATTCCAAAGGACTTTTTACTCCAAAGTGGCTGGTGACTTAAGACTCATTTTCACCGAGTGGGTCACATTTTATCAGTGCACTTGCAATCTTCCTGGCGTTCACAACTCTCAGCTTCATCTTCAAGTTTCATCTCGGGCAAGGAGACAGCTGGTAGGCCTGACAAATCAGAGGCAACGTCAAAGCTAAGATCGATAAAAAACTTGGTCGGCTAGAAGACCTACCCGGAACGTTGGCTTGGATCGGGCCTTCTCGTCGTGGGGACTGGTGTAGGATCTCTGGAAGGACCGGCCCAGCGTCCCCCCTCCGCTGCTCCTCCTGGGACGACTGTCTCCGGCGCCGCTGAATACGTCTTGAGTTGCTCTGAGTGTTACGATGCAAGGCAAACCACAGAGGATAGGTATTCTACACATTAACCCGAGGAGTACTTTTTTACATCTTGACCTATGTGACCAACACGAGTGACTACTCAAAAAACAGCAAAGAGATTGTGATCGCAACTGGTCGGACATATCAGAAATCAAACCAAATGAATTACAACTTTGAACAAGCTCCAATTTAAAAAAAAAAGCCTTGTTAGGGTCTCACTGCACAAGAACTAAGGACTGTAATGCGACTCCCCACAAGAAACTACAAGCAACGCTACAAGTCGGAACTGCTTCTGTGACAAGCGGCTGGCCTTACCTGGCAGGAATAAGAATGGAGTTGAGCTCAGTGGTCAAGTGCCGTCGGATGATGGTCTTGCTGGAAGGAATGCCCAGAGCATTGGCCATGGCGTCCGAGTCGAACGATGGCTCCAGCACCATCAGAGCGCCGTGCACGCCGCTGTCCAGAAGGTTGTCCGCGTACTCCTGAAATACGGAATAGGGAATACCCAGTAAACGATGACGCCATTTTCATTTTCCTCGAGGACAATTCTGTACCAAACTGTCCACACTTTCAGTTGATAAAAACATGAAGTCTGGGTCTCTAGTCGTAGGTTACTCACCTTGAGATCAATGCTGCGTGCCCATCTGATCAATCGCTGGCTGGTCCACACCACCAGGTCACAGTCCATGTCCTCGCACTGTGTCCGCCTCTCCACAAGAACCTAAGTTCATCAAACGAAGTAGAAGGTTTTGAAATTTTGGCAAGTTTACTTGTCCTGAGATGCTGGAGTTGCTATCCTCGGTGTTTCGAAACCGAGTTTGCAAAAACTGAGCTTGTGAAAAAGTTCTCAAGCACAACCATTCTCTACAGTGGAGGTCTTCAAAAGGTTTCACAAAGCAAGGAAAATATTCCAAACTATTCCTCCGAATATATAACACAGCTGCACTGCCACAATGGGAGTTCCACTGCACATAGGAATGGAAGTTCCATTGCGCAGTCACCAGGAAATGTCAGTAATGCTACAATGTCATTAGGCAGGGACTCATTCATACTTTGCACCAGTTTACCAATATGCCAGGTTTGTGCAATGGAGGGGATAATTGTATGACATGACACTGGAACGAATACGAAATAAAACATTCCGATACGTCATGTGTACAGTTCACTTGATCAAGCCACGTTCTTTAAATGCTTACCCCTTTATCAAACTGGATCCTTCTCAACAATTCGATGCCGTGAAGTAAGCTGACTTGGTGGAATTTCCGGGTGATTCCGAGGTGCTTCTCCAGGTCTTTCTTGGTGAGGCTGTTGAGGACTCGGCCATCGATCCGCTCCGACTCAAACTGCAGCGAGTATTGGCCAAGGCCGAGGTCGTTCAGCCAGGTCCGGGCCACCCAGCGGTGGTCCAGATCACCCGCCTTCGGGAAGATGCTATGTAAAATGAAACGTAGGAGATCACTGTTATGAGATATATCTGGTAATGAAACCAAGGATTCCTCAAAAGCGCCCTTGGCACCAATGTTGTATTCGAGTCCATCACAAGTCCCTTCAAGTCCCTATAAGTCCATCACAAGTCCATGTAAGTCCATCACAAGTCCCTGTAAGTCCATCACAAGTCCCTGTAAGTCCATCACAAGTCCCTGCAAGTCCATCACAAGTCCCTGTAAGTCCATCACAAGTCCCTGTAAGTCCATCATGAGTCCATCACAAGTCATTCAGAGGTGGGAGGAAAACTCCAGAGGAATATTCTGGGTAAAACCCACTGAATCAGGTAGGGACTGAAAACCCAATCCACAAGCTGGCCCAGATGGGATTTGAACCCAGGCCACCGAGGTGAAAAGTAACGAAAGAGCTGCTATGCAAATCTTACTCCTCTAATTAAATCTTCGTTGTTTTCAAACTGCCTTAGAAGCAAAGCTAACAGTGAATACACTCATCTCGTATGCTCACCCCCCTGTGAACTTGGGCAATAAGCCTTTTGCGAGTTAAATTTGAATAGAATCTGGTACACTGAGTTCTTTAAATTCACATGAACATAACAATTTGAATTCTCCATACTAAAAACACTCTTGCTATACCTCGTGATTCGGGGCAAACTTGTGCTCAGTTACATAAGAGACGTCTTGCACCAATACACTGTTGTCAATGGATAAGAAGGGCACAAAGGAACCAGTCCATTCCAGAGAAGGTGGTCGCTATGCAAAAGCTTGCCCCGAAGCACGAGGTATAGCAACAGTGTCTTAAGTCTGGTGAATTCAAATTACTACGTTTATGTGCAATCTCATCACTCAGTGTACCAGATTTTATTCAAATTTGACCTCGCAAAAGGCTTATCAACAAGCAAACCTCTCCCATTCCACACTGCATGTTCAAGCTATTGTATGTGTGTTGTACAGACACGTACATGCATGCCTATTACCAGTGACTGTTAAGGATGCCATATGGCAAGAGTTAACGCATCAGTCAACTGGTACGCTACATGTATATTCAGTCTCCGTCTGTCACCTTCGTATTTCGACAAATAAAATATTCAAAATCAAGCAATTCCACAAAAAAAAGGAAGAAACGTCTACAAAGGAAACTTCATTCAGACAATTCCGATGCATGGAGGCCTCCAACATGAGTAAAAGGAGGACAGAGTGGCTTACATTTCGACTCCTGGCCTGTGCTCCTCGATGGCAAGTCGGACTTTGCGTCTGTGCAGGACGTTGCTTACTCCCATGCCGGATTCCAGCTCGGCGTCCGAGAGCCCGAGCAAGACCTGCAACAGATTATGATGTAAGGCCACATTTTATGCCAGTGCAACAGGGCCCATATATCATCTACAGATGCATGGAATGCCAAATTTTCTGGGAGGGGCGATTTTTTTTTTTTGGAGGAGTGGGGCAAAATATTTGGAAATCTCTTTACGTGACCTTTTGTGGCCGGTCTTAGTAGTGAGGCTAAATGTTCTGGCTTCTAAAAGGATGGGAAGTGAAAAAGTCCCCCAATTTTTTTTCTTATTTTCTAAAACAAAATTTTGCTCCTGGTGGGTTGAGCCCTGATGGGTCCAATGGATCTGCTAGTGAGCACTAGATTGCCAGGTGTGCAAATCAAACAATATGTAGGGACTGCAAATGTGTTGAAACACAGATGCTGCGGGGACCAAATATGTTACAAAATTTCCATCAACAACTTGGCCTTGGCTTTCCCAACAGAAGAAACTGCCCCTTCGCCCTGGCGAAGCCCCGCCCACTGCTTTTCGTACCTTCCCGCTCTTGATGTTCTCCTGGCAATTCTGGCTGTACTGCGGCAAGCACATGGTGATCTCCAGCCACGACACCACCATGTCAGCCTTCCACTGCGTCATGGGGGTGTTCCGGCACTTCTCGGCCAGACGGAGCTTCTCGCGGTCGTCTAGCGTGCTGTCATAAATGGACGAGCTGTTCCTCGCGATGTGAGTGTCTGCAGAAAATAAAGAGCAATGACTACCGTTACAAACCGACTCCAAATCTGAAGCCAAATTCCATGACTTGTCCAGGACTGAAATAGGACAATTTCCATGATATTTGACATCATTTTGCAGAGAACAGTTGCTTGGTAATAGGAACCGGAAGACTGCCGCAGCCACTAAGGCACTACAGACCGCATCAAAAATAACCCTTGCACAATCTTGATTTTCAAGACTTGAACATTTCTTTTTTCTCTCCAACAATGGCATCATGACGCTCTATTTTTTCCCCATTTTCCACGACTTTTCCATGACTTTCCAGGACATTCCCATCCCCCGTTTTTTTTTCCATGACGACCGCGGGATGCCTGCAAAGGGGCCAAGAAACACCCTCACCATCAAAGACCAGCTGCTCCAGGGCCGACCTGTTCTTCTTGCCGAAAATCTTGGAGAGGGAGTTGAACTTCTTGGACTGCTTCTTGGGCTTTTTCTTCTTCTCCCCGCCTCGGGGCACAGTGACCTCGTAGGGGATGTCCTCGTTGGACCGCGCCGTGCCGTCCGACGTCGTGGAGAGCAGATGCTCCGTGCTGGTGCTTTCGCCGAGTGTGACGTCTGCAACGAGACATCGATAGCAGTTCACATTTTGTTTCTTTAAATCTCATTTTGTTCAGGAAGCAATTCATCATTAACAATCAGTGTTGGATTCGAGCCCACCACAAGTCCCTGCAAGTCAGTCACAAGTCATTCTGTCTTGAGCCAATTCACAAGCTATTGAAATGAGCTGTGACAAAAGCATTCTTTTATCACTGTTCACCCTGTTACTTATGACTGGCCTTGGGAAGGGCCTTGTGACTGGCCTTGAGAAGGGCCTTGTGACTGGCCTTGGGAAGGGCCTTGTGACTGGCCTTGGGAAGGGCCTTGTGACTGGCCTTGGAAGGGGTCTTCTGACTGGCCTTGGGAAGGGCCTTGTGACTGGCCTTGGGAAGGGCCTTGTGACTGGCCTTGGGACGGAACTTGTGAAAGACTCAAACACAACAATGTTAACAATGTAACTGCAGGAATATTTGCTTGAAGATGTCTAAATGATGTTGCTACCAACAGTTAATAGAAATGAATGGGTATTATTCCAAGGAACCTTTTCCTTCATATAGCGATTAAAATCAAAGTAACATAAAGCACTACTTGAGTTGCACTCTACGGTACCAGAAACATCCGGCTGAGACACCAAGTCGTTCTGTGCCAGCGATGATGCGGGGAGGTGGTCCGACAGGGACGTGGAAGCCTGGCTGTTGGCTTTGGACACCGGCCGGTGCAGGTGGGGGAAGCCCAGGTCGGCCATATCCGGCGTGGTGGCCGGGGTGCTGGTCAGCGTGATGGTGGGTGTTTGGGGATGGTGGAAGCTGCGTCTTTCTGCCGTCAACTGCTCCTTCAACTGCGAAAGAGAAAATACGCCCCAGCATTTTATACGCACAAAAATCCAAATCGTATTCTTGCGGTTTGCCTAACTACAGTACAGCAGCTATTCTCTCAATGTATTAATAGGACTGCAGGGCACATACATTTACAGTGTACATGTAATAAGATGCAGGCTGACGAATAACAGATTGAGCGACTGTAACACTCCTGGTGAGTATTCAACTGCATGTACAACATTACTACATGTATGACTACTCGAGTGGAATACTCAGCAGGAGTATTGCACTACTCCTGCTGAGTATTCCACTGAAACATTTTTATTGAAAACTTGACTGGATCTGTGTTGTTGAGTATTCGACTGCAACTCTTTTGATGATGTACAACCCTCTTGGTGAGTACATACTATATACTTGATTATAACACTATTGAGTGCTCGATTACAACACTCCCCTTGATTACTCGATTACAACACTCTTGTTAAGGACTCAGTGAGTACTCCATGAAAAAACCTGGCAACTGGACAACACTCTTGTTAAGTACTTGATTACAATTCTTTGCAGGTACTCGATTACCATGCTCCTGTTGAGTACTTAATCACAACACTCTTATTAAGTACTCGACCGCAAAACTCTTGCTGAGTACTCAGCTACAACACCGATCTCTACCTTGTCTATTTCCTGTTCCATGGCCTCGTTCTCCTTTTCTCTCCTGTCCAGCTGCTCCCGTAACGACACCGATCGCTCGGCAGCCTCCCGGGCCCGCTTCAAGATCTCCCAGCGGTCCTTCTCCACCTCCTCCTTCTCGGCGATCACCTTGCGCAGGCTCTCGTCGCTCTCCGAGACCCGCTGCTCGTAGTTGCGGATGAAGTCCCGCATCTCCTCCTCCTTGGCCTCCAGGGTGCAGTAGAGCTGCTTCATCTGGTTCAGCAGGTCCACTTTCTCCCCCTTCAGCCGCTTACGATCTGACTTCATCGCTGGAAGGGAGAAGGGGCAACACACAACACCAATAAGACTTTCAGCGCCCATTTAACAAACGAGCGATATCCAAAATGCAGCGATGGGACATGGTATAACGTGCAACATTTCCCATTTGGGCAATTCCACGAAAAGTAGCAATTGGGTCACACTGTAACCAATCTCGTTACTAGTTTAGAACTTTGAATGAAAACTGTTTATAAGTAAATACAATGATTTTTTTGTAAAAATGTATTGTTAAAATTACGACCAATGGTGAGGTCGGTAACAGTGTGGCTATATTCGCATTGCCCAGTTAAACATAAGGGGGGGAACCACTCGGTATGCCAATTACTGACTCTCCACAGTAACAGTAGAGCCACAATTGATAACTGAAGGTGCAAGACACTCAGCCATGCCATGACATCATATCTAACAAGACTACTGATTGGTCAGTATGCCTGGGTGACCCTATCGGAGCGGCAGTACGTCGACTCGCATGCACTGAGCATGTTTGAGCTGGCGTGACATCGGGTGGTTTGTTCTCTAAAGACCTTGCCTTTTTGAAATGCCAAACCGGTCCGTTACGATGGGACTAACCCACATGTACCGGGAATAAGAATCACAACAATTTACATGCTGTTGATAGCCGGGCTATGAAGAGGATGGCGAGCTAATACCATTTGCCTTGGAAGTCATCTACTTTTTAATCATGCTTTCAAGACTATTCCATCTTCCCCTCCCGAAAGCCGGGATACACAAGAAAATGACAAAGACCGATCAACCTTTTACCGCGTTGACAAAAAAAAAAAGTGTGCACAGACCGAAACCCTAACCCGCCCAGTGTAAATTTTGCATCTTGCAAAAAAAAGGAGGACTACTACTGCGGATGACATTTTCCGTACCTGTGAGGGCCTCCTTCGCTCGCGCCAGATCGTGCTCCGTCTGCGTCAGCTGGATTTTTAGCTCCCCGGCGCTGGGTATCTCCACGTGGCTGTGGTCCAGCGCCCGCAGGTCGTCCAGTTGCTTCATCAGGGTCATGTTGTCCCGCTCTAGGTGGCAGCACCTGTCTCTCAGTCTCTGGAGCTCGCTCTCTCCCTGCTGCTTCTCCCATTCTGTGGCAAATCGGGGAACCGTAAGCATGGTAGAACTCTCAGTACGCCACAACGTGACTTCAACAAGGACTGGATATATATCTCCCGTCAGCCTAACCCTGACAGACGCAACGAAGTTCAACAGACGCCGACGTCTGGCGCCCTGTGCTTCACAGGACAATCAACAGCAGCTGGATAAAATGAATGAAACTTTATACACGTACAGCACACCATTAACATACTTTGAGCACTTGCACGATCTGATGGCTTACCTGAGTTTCCCTTGTCGTTATCGGGACTGCTGCCTGTGCTTCCATCGGCACTGAAGTAACTCAGTCTCTTGTTGGTGTCAGTTAGTTCAGTCACTGTAACCTTATCCATCCGGAAAGTTTGAAATATAAACAATACAGCTACATTGTTTGGGATCAACATCATTGACAGATAATGGGCGTCTGGCCTCAAAAGGTGCAAACTCATTGGCATATTTTATTTAATAATTCCTTGGGGCCAAATATTCACATCTACCTTATGCTTGACTTGAGCTGTAATCCTGTTCTGGTGATTTCAAAACAAGCAATCTTGTTTGAATGTTGATAACACATTTTTATTGAATCATTCAAAAATTAGATAGGGAATTTCTGGACCAAAACTACCCTGTACATAACTGTTTTTTTTTTCAAATACATGTATATGTACTTCCAAATACGTGCAATTCACAATAGTGCACCCCCAAGCATTTTCAATGCGCTGGCCAATCACAACGAGCTAAATTTGTCGACCCTTTTTGATATTTTACACAGGCTACAGTGTAATTTACCACGAACTTTTTGACTCTGTGCGAGTCACGTTAGATTTTGCTTGACGATGATATAAATTCCTATCCCAACTAAAACAAGTACGCATTGCGTTGTATGTACTTACATGTGCATGCCAATAAACAGGGTGTCCACAGAAAAAGTATGCCACGATATAAAAATTACGGCACATAAAAATGTCAGATGTGCATTGACAGGAATGACGGCCCTGTGGAGGGCACAGCATATTAAACTTGTGAAGTAAGTAGCGAAAACAAAGCAGATTGATTTAGGTACATTCCTTGTTTTCAAGAATGTGTTCTTAAAGCAAAGGCATTTGGTATTCTGCAAACGTGCCTGGTTGAGCGCTGTTAATCAAATATGCAAACTTGTCACAGTGCCGATTTCAGTGCCCTTAACATCGGTCTACCAGTAGTTAGTTTATCTGCGTGAATAACATCACAAGCTGTACCGGTATACCATTGCAAAGAGGACATTCTGCCCTTTCTAATGACATAATTATTTCTCTTTCCCATATACATGTATGAAGTATAGTGCTTTTGCCATTACAGTAATTTTTATCTCGGTAAACTTTTTACGCAGACAGCCCGTACAGCAAATGAAACAAAGTGCAGCGCCGCTGCGTCACTACATTCCTACCTGTTGAGGCTTCTCCGGCTTTGTGCACGACAGTCTCTTGTTCTCCTCTGCCATCTGCCTGTACTTGATCTGCGCATCCACCAGCAGCCGGCGCATCAGCGCCAGGCTGGCCTTGAGGGAGTCCCTGGCCGGCGGGTGCACCGACTCGCTCACCGGCGTGCTGACGTCGCATTCCGACGACTTGGGCGTGAACATGAACTGGACGATCTGGTCATTGAGGGAATCCAATGACTCAATGGCTGTGGGCGAACAGAGGGAAAGCACCGTATCAACCAGTCCGAGTCCATGATATGCACGAAGGAAGTAATTGGCCAATCAGCCGATATCAAATGTACTAGTCACTAAAGTTTCATCAAAGTCAACACCACAAGTTTTGTCAGAAACTCATGAACAAATAACCACAGTTAATACAAACAACCTCCAAAAGAGAGGTTTTTTGGGTTGTTTTTGACAAAGATTGATTTTTTAATGTACCAATATGTACAGAGTGGTACAATGTCCAAGTAATACAAGTACATGTACCAATTTTGTAGCAAGGTCCATCAATTATAGTCACATCATCAATGATTGTGCATCAACCTACATCTCTTGTATTTGAAGTGCCTCGTGATGCCAGCATGTGTCAGGTTTCAGTACATCTATGTACTGGTAATTTATACAACATACATTTGCATGTACATGTACATGGCTTGTGTGCATACTAAGCACACTATACAGGTCATGGGGCCAAAAGTTGCCTTCAAGGTCACGGTCAGAAAGGGGTCCCACCCATGGACACTTACATACATCGTATATGCTGTGTTATGTCACATCACTGGAAACTTGAAAGAAAATGTACCCATGTACATCCGAAAGTGCATGACGGTATATACACGTAAATTGCACGATCTGCCAACTGCTGCATGACGTGCGGTGCATTCCGCTGCGTCCACTTCATTCTGACGCAAAAATGCTGGTAAAGTAAATATTTTCACGGCAGTGGCCTTTTGACTGCCAGGGCAAACTACACAGGTAGGATACTATCCAGTCAAGGGAATGTATGCCAGGGTTTGATCTCGGATTACAAGATCTGCCCCTCCCTTGGCAGCCAAGGTTAAAAAAAACTTGCCTGTTCTCTCCCAGGAAAAGATTTTCAAACTGACGCCCCTTAGTGTCATCTGGGGTCCTACATGTATTTCCACTGCACCCAGTATTTTGGATTTACCATACAGGTGTAACGGACCGGGAGATTGTAAATTTTCAACAGGCACGGTCCACAGTTTCTGACAGTGCTAACAACTTTCATGACAGGACAAGCATGCTCATTAACTTCAGATGAGAAATCCAACGTTTGTCTTTATTTGTAATGTACATGTACATTTGAGCTGGACACCACGCCAGAAATGACGGCCTTTGGTACAAATGAATGTAATCATTGCCTTGCATGAAGAATAACACCAGAAATTATTTCTTTCAGCACACAACTGTAAACCAGACCAACATTTCAACAAGGTTCTTGGGTCTTTCAAAATTGCTTTCAATTCAAACAAAAAAATTGGAAATTTTTGTTTCAGATTAAAAAAAAAAATAGAAAAAGGGGAAAAGACACGATTCCAAAGACTGGGACCTTGAGAGTAATCTCCTTATAGCAGCATTTTGTAAGATTTTTTTGATGTTGACTTTGTACATTTTGACAAAGGAATGAAATAATCCACATTGTTCCACGGACAGAGTTTTTTAAAAAAAGAGACCCCTGGACAGGTGGTTGTGAATACATTTCCACCTCATCAAGTATCGACGATGTGTTTTTCAATACATGGACCAGAAATGTACTGTTAACAAGACTAAGTGTTCAAACCTTAACTACAGCCCACAAAACCAGGACACAGACCTGCAGGGATTACATATAAATACCTGTAGGGGCACATAAGTGTAAGTTGCAAAATAATTGATGCAGATACGCCATGAAACTATCGCCTTTGAGGAAACGAGGAATCTTTTTTGCTCCATGTACATAAACATGTTCATGTAGCCCTACCGGAACACACGTTCATGTGTTTAATGCAACTTGACATCAGTCACCACAGTCCTTCAGCGTCCTTCAGTTCGCCACACACCATTTGGCCAAAAGTTGCGTAATATGTGTATAAAGTACATGTATGTGCCTACCGGTACAAACAGTTGAACCTCATGACCTTGCTTTGTTATAACAGGAACCTACCAATGTAGATGTAAATACATGTACATGTACATGTAGATGTAAATACATGTACATGTACATGTAGATGTAAATACATGTACATGTATGTCCTGTTATAATCTGTAAGCAAATGCTGCATTAATTTACAGCCCTCTTATAAACAAGATTCAACTGTATACATGTACATGTGCACACATTTCACATACCATGTACATGTAAGCACAATGCACATGTACATATCCTAGTACCAGTAAGTTACATACATGTACTTGTTTCATTGCATCTTGTGAACTGCATGTACATGTACACGTACATGTACAGGTAGATATACATGTTCTTGTTGGTTGGCAGGTAGTCTGAATTTCAAACCAGGTTTAAGAATTACACGTACATGTAGTCCGCAGGTTCCGCAGTTCTGGAATGTATAGCCTAATGTGTACACTTTGAATTCCAAAGCAAAAATGTACATTAGGCAGTCCCCATGCCATGATGCATGTACGGGCTACACTGTACTGCCTCCAACCTCACTACACAGCCCGCAGTACCATGCTCCATCACAGGATAGAACCAATTACGCGGGACCATTCCGTTCTGATCACATGAAGATTGGTCATCTTCCTGACTCCCAAACAGACACGTGCACAGTACTTGGGTCTCCTGCCATTGGAGGCCAGCCCGCTCAGTCGTGATTGAGCTTAAAAATTCAGCTGACTGAGTTTTAAAAAAAAAAAACTCTACAAATTGGGTTAATGAATACACCTGTGAAAATCTACAGCACCTGCACAGTGTACCAGTAGATTGACGGTAAAATACAATGTTCTTTTTCCTGGTGTTAAAAGACATTGTCCTGTTTTTAAGTGGAACCAGATGTTCATTGATTCCAGCATATGGAATCCATCTGGATTCTATTAAGGAATCACAGTTCTACTTGGAACTGGTTTCATTTTTCCACCTGCAAATATACCAGAACATGAATATTTCCAAATAGGTCACTTGGGAGACATTTTGTGGTAAAATTTTCAACCTTAGGGAGACATTTCAATGTCTCCCTAATGCTCCAACTACCAGAAGGAGGCCAAATTTTATTGTCCACATTTTGAGAGACGATAGATTAGGGTACAATTGATTGCATAGGCACACATGTACATATGTACCTGTATGTCTACCCAGCACAGCCTGTGTATCAATTTAGATTGTATGGGGTGGTGCATGACGGGGGGTAGCCATGTTCCGGTCCCGTCTCCTGCGACTAGGGCTTCAAATTTTGATCAAAAGAGGCAACGGTGAAGAGCCGTAGCCAGTGTTCAATACTTGTGAATGCCGTAGTCTCACATGGAGATGCCATGTGTCGAGTGCAACACACATGTGCATGTAACACGGTTGAAAATATTTCTTGTAGGGGTTTTCCTCATACATGTATATTGCAAAAGACGTGAGTAATAAAGGAGTTGCCTAATATCCAAATAACCAAATATTTGATCGATTATCAAATATTTGAATATTTTTTTTTCCGAATTCGAATATTTGAATTCAAAATTCAGGAAAAGGAAAAATATTCCTTGGTTTTATACGAGAAAAATTGCACTATGGAGGCTTGTTTCAAGCAGATTCAAATGAAAACCGTCAGAAATCTTACGATTCAAAAAGTAATTATTTGTTAAACAACTTAAAAGGGCTAGAAATTTTCAACAGGGAAAGTATTTTTCGTCTCTTAAATCTTGCTAAATCGTGGCTGGAGATACTCCTAGATGTGAGAAGCTATTATAGTGATTACATGTATAATGTACATATGTACAATTGTGGGCATTATTGCAACTAATTTTGTATATGGTTTGTTCATCAACAATCTGCCGGTTGGTACGACCCAATATTCCGATATTTGATCAAATTGAAGGTTGAATATTCAAATAGTGAATTATTTGAATTGACTCAGCCCTAGAGTAATGACATACTAGTACATGATAAAGCCAAAGGTGCAAAGGTTTTTTAAAGTGACATTAAGTCATTTTTCTGCAAGATTGTCCTCAGAAGCCAACACCAATCCTTGATATACCATAAACTGATTTGTATCAACACCTTTAAACCCTGCAGAATTCTACACTATTCGAATACATGTATCAACTAGACTCTCGGTTAGGTAATGAATTGCTGTGAAAGAATAAAAACACAGGGTGAACCAGGTTTGAAGTTCATGAATCTGGCTTTAAAAACTTTTGCAAGCTAACGACCACTAGGATGGCCTTTAGTTCTGCGCTGGCTTCAGCTTTGGGTTTCACATTCTCGTAAAAACTCCGGTTGCAAGAATATAGTGACTTTTTTTTACAGGAAGGGAGGAAATGAACAAATTTACACTAATCAAAAAAGGCGAAAATTGTGGATATTTACATGTATGTAGCGCACATATCCATTACAACTGATGCTCAAAGCGCTGTATTAACAGAGTATGATAATTGAGCATTCACAACGGAAAAGGGTAATTCCAGAAATTAGGGGTCCATTTCTTTTTCGTGTCCCTGTCACATCTGACATATGATTTGGTAAGTTCAGAACACATTTTCTAATTTCAAAGAGTAATAAATTAATTCTAATCACCTGCTTAACAAATACATGTAGTAATAGTTTGAAATCAATTCCAGTGATATTTCCACGTCAAATAAAGGTTAGGTTTAACAGGGACACAAAAATGTCACACTTTTGGGCCTGCCTAATTTCTGGAATTACCCAAAAGACAGAACGCAAGATTACAGAGAAAAATTGACTTGGTTCTCCCCTCAGGACATGTGAAAAAAAAAAATCCTCCCAATCATGTGGTTTTTTGAGGAACATTACCATAGGATATATTTTGTGAGGGAAGGCAAAATGGGTTGGACTGACAGAAACAAGACATCTCAAAACAACCAAAAATTAATAGTGGATGAGCCCCACGAAAAACTGTGATCGGACTGCAAAGCAAGTCATAGAGATGTGGTCACGGATGAGTGATCCCAAATGGACAAAAGAGCAAGGACAGCCCTAATCAAAGTACTGTATGGCCCCAGTGAGGTGCACTTTCAGACAGTA